AGGAAGGAAGGAAGGAAGGAAGGAAGGAAGGAAGGGAGGGAGGGAGGGAGGGAGGGAGGGAGGCACTCGCAGTGTAGGTCAAGAGTGGAAAATGACAGCAAAATTGTACAAATTTTGTACACTCCTTTTGTACACGTGTCATGATGTCGCACACACATAGGAAAAGGATGGAGTTGACATTGTAATGGCATGGCACTGCTTTCATGATTTTGAGAGAACCATTGGATCCCATGGATGGCTTTGGAACATCAACACCCTGGGGGAGGCCGACTTCAAAGAAGTCAAGATGGTGATCATGACTGTGCAACCAAAGATGCCATCTTGACTTTTTTGACACCCCCACTCTGCAGTGGCCCCTGCTCTGGAAGGAAGAAAATAAATGTGCAGAGCCTGTTTTGGGCAAGTTGCCTTCTTTCTCTGTAGCCAGCACTCAAGATACTATACAATGTTTTATCCTCAAATCACCTGAACTTCTTGAAGGACAGGTAAAATTTATTCAAGCAAAAGAAAAGGAAACTCTTACCTAAAGGTAGAGGAGGTGATCAAAAGAAATGGAATCAAGTGGCCCAGTGGTTTTCTGCATGACCGTAGCTTTGCTTTGGGGCCTCGAAACTTTGATAAAGCCAAGGAACTATGGTAAATTGGTTTTAAATGCCATGAACAAAGGGAATTGACAAAGCCACTGCCCAGGTGCTGGGAACCTTTGCCTCCTAAACAAGAAGAATGAAACTTCTTTTCTATGCTATTTGAAAGTAAACCAATTAACTCCAATGCTTGCTTGAAACTGAAGCCGGTATGCTAATTTTGGCATTATAGCCAGTGCATTTTGAGGGAGGAAAAGCAAGCTTTGACCTCTTTCAAAAAGGAGGATGAGGAGAAGGATATTTTAACTTAAAGCAGCAACGGTTCTCATATTAAGGCTGGATTGAAGTTTTATGGATGTGTTAATGTACATATAATTGTAAATCACCTAGGAGGAGGAGTCTTAACAAATAATTGTAATGAAATAAATACCTAACTATATAAATTGCCTATCAAGTTCTGTGCCACCCATAAGGGTGTCTATGGGGTCAAAAAATCAAGATGGTCAGACCTGAATGTGGCAAAAATTTGCTATCCTATCTGTAAAACTCGACATTGTCTTGATTGCCTCAATGATGCAGTTACAATGTTATGTTTGTATTTTATTTGGAACAGAAATAGTTTATTTGTTAACCTGGTCAATGAAGAAGTATTCTCCTCCAGTTCAAGATTTCGGGTGCAGTCAGATGATTGAAAACCTGTCCCTTTTTTACCTGTCTTGCGCAGGTGATCTATGTTAAAAAGGAGCAGGGCTTCAGCCACGAGGTGGTGGATGATTTGAACATCCCACCCAGCCCCCCAGGCCAGTTGCTGACCACATGCAGGAACTCCTGGCCTTCCATTGCTTGCTCCCATCAGCTGGTTTTTAACTAACTGAGGCTCTAATTTAGCCCCCATTGGTAACCTGATCCATTATAAATTTATCCAATCTCCTTTTCAACCCTCTAACTCAATGTTCCTTGACCTTGGCAACTTTAAGCTGTGTGGACTTCTAATTGTCTCTTTGTTGCATAGGTCTTTCTCCAGAATGCCACCACCACTGTTACTACCACATCACCACCTGCCACCTCTTCAGTGACCGAAGCCTACACACGGGCACAGTACTGTAAGTGGCCATGCGAATGTCCAGCAACCACCCCTCTGTGCCCATCAGGGGTCAGTCTGCTCACGGACGGATGTGAGTGTTGCAAGATATGTGCCAAGCAATTTGGGGAGAGCTGCACCGAGGCTGACATTTGTGACATTCACAGGGGGCTGTACTGTGACTACAGCAGAGACACACCTAGGTACGAAATAGGAGTGTGTGCACGTAAGTGAAGTACATATCTTTTTGTTTTAGATGCAAAGGGTTGGCCCTGCCCTCTGTCTGAACATATACTAATCCATTCTGATCCAACTCTGCTTCTCCTTCTTTTTGGGAGTGATGCTATGCAACAGCTGACCTCATTCCTTCCTGCTCTTGTTTTGTTCTTCCACAACTGAGCCGAGAGCCTCTGCTTGCTTGACGAAAGGTAACTTCACAGCTCTCTTGCTCTGCAAGCATGTTAGCATGTCACAACATACCTTTTGCCTGATATGCATCTTTTTGGCAGTGGGTTGGGGTTGATCAACCTTGCTGAACTTCAGTTGCTAGATTCAGAAATAAAAACAAAACCAAACCAGAACAGCTAAGCAGGATCAGACCTGGATGACAGGCCACTAGGAAATATCCTAGGATGGTCTGCGTTGAAGGACTCTTCCTGTACCTCCCTTGGTTCCTCTCTCTTCATATCAGTTTCTCAAGCTGAGTTCAGTTGCCTGTTTGAGCTTCTCCTACTCAATCAGCTACCAAGCATGGTCTCTAGGCACACTCTAACCTTACTTAGAAGTCAAAATGGGTCTTTCAAGCTTGAAAAGGGGTTGCTTTGGGTTCGGAGCGCTTCCAGAAGGTCGGAGCCTTGTCAGAGCAGTTCTGGTAAAATCAGAATTAAGAAGACGGGATTGGAACAGCTCAAAAAGGGGTGGTTAGAATTCTGAATGTTTCAAACCTTTTGCACGTTACCATTTTGCACATCCACCTCCACATAGCCCTTGGCGCTTTCTGGATGGCAGCCCTGAAGAGGTTTCCTTGAGGCTAAGGACGTTTACAAGGGGAAATGGCAGGCTTCTGTTACAGAAATGTATGATTTTTAAAGTAAAATAATCGAAAAGTAAATGCATCAGATTAAATGATTAAGCAATTTAAAAGACCCTCTAGCCCGCTACCCCTTAATGCTTTATCCTTTTTTAAAGATGCTATAGTAAGCATTAACAGGTCACTGTATGTCCTTGTGCAGACATGGACCTGCTTGTTGTCTTCTGCTGTCTGAATGGTCATCTGAATGGACCCACTAAGCTTTCTTTTTTCCTTTCTTTGACCCCATAGTCAAATTACCTCTGCCCTGGAAACACTGGGAAGAGAGTCTTCTTAGAATCAGCGGGCCATTGATTAATTGCTGCCTTCAACATCTTTTTACTCAATAAAGAAGGCCTTTTCATTTGCCCAGTCTCATTGATTTCTGATGAAAATGGTTTTGTGACCACATTTTAATCTGTTCTCACTGTTGTCATTTGCTTTTTATTGATTCCTCGATTTCTTGATTCATTTCCCTATGATTGCCACCTTTTTTTAAAAAAGGATCTTGGAAGTGTTTTTAAGTCCAAAGGTAGGATATCAATTTAGAGAGTACCAGTAATATTGGGGCAGTGCACATGATGCAAATGATTTGGAAGTGCTGTAGTCCTTGTGCAAGCAAAGCATCGCCCTGCCATTCATGAAAGCTGCCACATCTTAATTCAGGCTTCTGCATGAACCTGCACAAAGATGCAGCTGCTTTAATGAACCAAACCATGAAAGCAGTGCAGTTTTAATGCAACTCTTAAAGCAGCTGCAGCTTTTTCCAGATTCACATGGAACTGTTGTGCCCACGGTGTGTGCCAGATCCAAACTGCTTCTGAACTATGTTTGAAGAAGCATGCTTCATCATTGTTATCACGGAATGAAATATATTTATGTCTAAAGCACGAACCTTGCCAGGCTGAGTGTCTTTTCAAGCAAGCCAAAGTATTGTCCTTCTCACCAACCTTTTGCTGATGCTCCTTGTTGTCCTTGTAGAACTTGTTGGCGTGGGCTGTCTCCTCAATGGGATCAGGTACAAGAATGGGGAGAGCTTCCAGCCCAATTGCAAATATAACTGCACCTGCATCAACGGGGCTGTGGGTTGCATCCCACTGTGTACTGACTCCAAACCACCCCTTGTTTGGTGCCCAAGCCCAAAGCAGATTAAGGTCAAGGGTGAATGCTGTGAACAATGGGTCTGTGATTATTCAAAGACCATCAGGAAGACATCCCCACGGCATGTCTCTTCAGCAGGTAAGATGGGGCATGGGAAGCCAAGCAATGAGAACAGAAAACTGGCTTGAAAGTTTGGGCTAAACTCCATAAAATATAGAATTTCAACTCCCACTAACTTTCTTCAGTAACAAACAATAGCTTTTGTTTGTAGACTCCAATTTAGAGCAAAGGAATGTTGGCTGTTTTTAGCCCAAGCTCTTTATTTTTTTCAGTTTTTTTTTTGAAGAAAAAGCTTCTTTTTACTAATATAATAATCTCCAACAACTAATATTGTTGGAGAAGTCAGATTGCTGACTTCTCCAACAATATTCTTTAGTGCCATGCCAATTTTTTTTCTACTATTGAATTAGAATTGGATAAAAGCAGAGTTGTTTTTCAAACTTCTTGCAAGGGAAGAGAACATTTTGGAGAGTTCTCAGAGTGGAATGGTCTTGCACTGATTGAGACAAGAGGGACCCAGGATGTGTCTGAATGTCCTGACTTTCATTGCAGAATCATCTCTTGCCAGCACTCCGCTGCTTCCCTGGCTTTCCACCTTCCACAAAATCCCAAAGAAAAGACATCATTGCAAATTCCTCTTTCAGACTGGGAAGCGTGGACAGTCAGAGAGGCTGCAAAGTGATGGGAAGATGTGCAATGCCAGCAGAAACACCTCCATCACCTCCAACAGCCAAGCTCAAGAATGTTCACCAAGAGAAATTCAGTAGAAATTCTAAACCACCCTGAGAATAAAGTAGAAAAAGCAGAAACCTCTTTTGGAAAGGTAGAAAACCTGCCTGAAATTGCAAAACTGTTGTAAGCACAGAACTCATAAGGTTTATCGATTTGGACTGTTTATTGAGTATACTGATCTCATTGAGGTTTCAGACAGGGATCCTTGCCATCCCTTGATACCAGAGAGCACACCTGCAAGGTTTACCAGTTGCCAATGACCCTTTAAAACAATAAGGCATGGTGATGCCCCTCTTAGCACATCTGCAGCAGATGGCACTAATACCCCTTTTGAAATGCCAATAGGCAGAGGAGATTCACAGATGACACACAATATGGCGCACCATCAATGAGCATCTCATCCATTGGATGAAGTCATCAGCGGCATGCTGTGCTATGCATTGTCTGGCAATATTTTCCATGGGTGCACACCCACCTGGATGAGAGGTGCCACCATTGCCTTTTGCATGTACAGCAATGAAGGCTCTTCCTCAGAAAAGTGCTTTTCTACAGTGTGGGAGCCAGCAGGAAGGTATGTTGATGTAAAACTCTGCCGCCCACATTTCTAATCCCTCTTCTTCCTCCATGACAAAGCAGAATAGGGCTTCTGTCTGGATAAGAAGCAGGGAGGAAGAGAGAGGAGCAAGAACATCTCTTTTGATGCTCCTTACTGGTACAAGACCCATAGGACTTTGGCTGTCAGTTCTCTGATCTGAATGATCATACTGGGATTGGAAAATTGGTGCCAAAGGAACAATTCTCTCCCTTCTACCACTCATGGCAAGAAAACCAGAGGAGGAGAGGAGGAGGTCTGGCACCAAGGGATGGAAGTGTCTCCAGCTTGTCCCCACATGATAGGATTTCCCCAACACCCTGTGGAGTTAGCCATGGGTGGCAAGGGAAGCAGGGTGGAGGGAATTAGTGTTAGTTATCTTGATCCAGGTTGCTTATAATATATTGGAGGAGATCATGAATGGCTAGCTGGCTTTCTAGGTAGATTTCACTTTTCTTTCCAATCCCAGTTGTGGTCTAACAGCCCAAACAGAAGACAAGTGATAATGAAAGAATGGTTTCTACCAGCAATACATGGCTATATTGACAACAGACTCTAGATATGACTAAAGCAGGGATGGGTGGGTTGTAATTCACCATGTTGTGAGAACTCAGCCATTGTTGTAGCCCCTTTGATGAACCAGATTATCATGTTAAGCTGCTATAAGGTTTCTTGTTTGGACAAAGCCTGGGACCTGAATTTATCAACTGTATTTTGTTAATCTGGATGTGAGAGCCAGTTTGGTGTAGTGGTTATACGCACCAGCTAGAAATTGGGGGATAGTGAGTTCTAGTCCTGTCTTAGGCATGAAAAACTGGATGGGTAACCTTGGGCTAGTCACTCTCTTACAGCCTAGGGAGACGGCCATGGCAAACCACTTCTGAGAAATGTTGCCAAGAAGGTTGCATGGACTTGTCCAGGCAGACCACGAGTCAGGACTGACTTGAAGGCTTAAAAAAAAAAAAAAGGTGGTGTGCCCAAGTCTGACGATGTGCAAAAGTCCCTCCACAAGACTGATATAAAACCTCAACTAATTCCATCAATGCCTTTGCTTGGCAGTTTATGGAGGAGAAATTGAAGCATGGCAGAAAAACTGTATCCTGCAAACTTCTTCCTGGAGCCCTTGTTCCACAACCTGTGGAATGGGCATTTCCACAAGGATCTCTAATGATAATGCCCAGTGCCGGTTGATGAAAGAGAGCCGTCTCTGTAATCTGCGGCCTTGCGAGGAGGACATCATCAAGCACATTAAGGTATGTAGTATGTAAGACTAGGTCACTTGGCAGGAGGTCATGTGTAACTTTTGGAGAGGAGGAGTGAGGACTGCAGTGGGAGTCTGATCAGGGTTGGCACCACCAAGGGCAAGGCGGGGGAAGGCAATGGGAAGTGAAATGGAGGAAGGAAGGAGTTCTTCCAGAAGCACTGATTTGGCAGAGCTGTTTTAGAATTCAACTCTGGATCAGGAGCAGCAAGAGAATATGTTCCTTTTCTTAACCCTCTGATCTGTGTTCATATTACACAACTGATCTGGAGAGATCAAGGCCATTTCTTGCTTCAGTGGGAGAACATTACTTCAGAACTGGACCAGCTGACTTAAACTTATTGCACTGAAGGCCTTGAGACAAGATGAAAGTGATATCATGGAGAATACTTGCAAGTTATGACTGTCCTGAGGTTAGATGCAAAGAGAGAAAGGATATCCTGCCTTTTTTTTCCTGGGAGTTTGAGGCATTATACTGTATATGGAGATTGTTGACCCTTTATTTCAGTGTTTCTCAATCTTAGCAACTTTAAGAGATGTGAACTTCAACTTTCAGAGTTCCCCGGGCAGCATGCTGGCTGGGGGAATTCCAGGCGTTGAAGTCAACAGATCTGAAAGTTCTCAAGGTGGAGAAATGCTGCTGTAGCGTCTAGCTGACCACAGGGTCCCTCTGCCTAGGAAAGTGCCACAACCCCACATCCTCTCTGTGATTGTTTCATCCTATCTGTTTTCTTCTCCTTTTAGAAAAGCTTGAAAGTGTGTCCCTTTTGGTCAACCTGATGGAATTTGCATAGTCCATGATTAACTGCTTTCACATTTCTTTCCCACTTTCTTGTAGCCTGGGAAGAAATGCTTAGCAGTGTACAGGGGAGAGGAACCAATGAACTATACCCTCTCAGGATGCACAAGTAAGGCCATCTACAGGCCTAAGTACTGCGGTCTTTGTGTGGACGATCGCTGCTGCACCCCGTACAAATCAAAGACCATCGAAGTGAGCTTCCACTGTCCAGACGGGATGAACTTTTCCAGGAAAGTCATGTGGATCAGTGCCTGCTTCTGCAACCTGAACTGCAAGAAGCCCAGTGACATCTTTGCTGACTTAGCTCATTATCATGATTACTCTGAAATTGCCAATTAACATGACAGGAGTTGAGGGGAGAAGGGAGAGGAGAGGGGCAAGAGGGAAAACTGCCTTCCAAGACCTACAACTTATTATTACTCTGATTTTACAGAGGGCACAAAAAATAATAAAATAAAAGAGGTTGTTGTTTTTGTGGTTATTGTTATGGTTTCACCTGGCGCAGGGGAGAAGGAAGCTTGGATGAATGATAAAAAAAAGTCAATGTCCTAGCTTAGAGCTGCCTTTGGCTCATTCTGTGGATTTTAGATGTGGTGCGGTCAAAGAATTGTTGGAAAACAGGCCATCAAAAGGTCTTCCTGTGTGCGTGTGCGTCTACATATGCATGAAAGAGACGCTAAATCGGTTTTTAATATCAGGTTTCAGATCTATCATGCACAACTTTGTAATAAAGAAAGCACTCTTTGAGCCTTTGCAAAGAGACTAAGGGGTTATTTTATTGTTCAACCAGTTTGCCTTTCCCCTCTCCTTACCTATTTCAGACAATTCAGTAATAGCGGCACCTGGCTTCGTAAATAAGCCCTCAAAAGTTACCAGCGTGTTGTTTGAGCTAGCCAGCTGTGGGCTGAGACATAGGTGGGAAAATATGGAGAAAAATGGGAGTGTTCGGTCCCCAAAAAACCATCTTCTGCATTTCTAGGCTGTGCATAAAGGAGGGAATATTCCTAGGAACAGGGAACAGGGCTTGCTTCCCTGAGCATCTAGGACAGTGTTTCTCAACCTTGGCAACTTTAAGATGCGTGGACTTC